TGATCGAGAACTCGAATGAAACATAATATTTATTATATCTTTTAATTTTTTAGAAAAAATTAAGTCCGTAATATAGTTTTTTTTATTTTCTAAAATGTCTAACAACGATAACAACGTTATGCATTATTTCAGAAGAAAAAATACAAATTCTTAACTATAAAGTACGAATCGTCAATTATTTTTATTATAAATTAGACAAGTATAAGCGGAATATGAAAGATCGATCGAGAGATTCGCTCAGATGAGAAACGTGGATGGATCTCAAATAACATAAAATACAATCTGTTCGACAATTGCGTTTCCCGCAAATAGACATCTCACGCACACCCCGCCGGGGTTTATTGCTGGACGAGATCTTCTGTCCGCGTACAGTACAATTTAAGTTATCCCGAGTTCTCGCGTTCTCCCAAGTAACGCCGCACCGCGCGGTCCTAGAAAACACAAAGGGGTGTCCATTTGCCATCTGATAATAATTGGAAAAGTTATCGTCGGGATGGAGTTTTGCCCGCAACTAACATTTTCCCTCGAAACTATTCCGGCCGATGTAAAATGGAGAAACTTTCGCATCAAGGAATAACTTCCGCCGCTTTTGAATGATATTACTTCTTTCCGCCCGCAAATTCCCAGGAAGTGCCTCCGCGCGGCTTCTTGGAGGGACTTAAACGCGCCCAGTGATTTGTCTGGGCGGGAAGGGGAGAGAGTGAGAGAGCCTTCTCCACCGCCGTCATGTATACCGAAGCGCGTTACCTCTTGAGAAGGGAAACTTGTTGTTCGTGAAATATAGAATATTTAATCTGTCGGATGGTGGGTTCCGCTCGGCGGTTTCGCTCCGAAACTGTATCTTGAGGTGCCGGTTTCGAGTAGCTTTGATAGCGCTGCCGCGCTTCGAGGACTAAGGTGCTTTTAGAGAGCGGAACCACGGATCCCCAAAGTGTTAAATGATAACAATCGCTGAGCGAATTCGAGGATCACAGAAAGATGGCGAGACATTTGGTTCTTCTCGCGGAGTCGCATTAAGCTCGATCTACGATAAAGACTTCACGAACGTCCGCAGAGCGGGATTTATATCCTGGAAATTGCAATTTTAACTTTAATGCTGAGTTCTTTCGCGAATTCTCGGGCAATTTTTCTTTGGAGAAGATTGCAAAATATCATCAGTTTTTTAATACTCAACATTAAATGGTTTTTGGTTAAAATTCCAAATTAAAAGGGCTGTATTAAAGGAAACTTATAATTCAGTATAAATAAAAAATAAAACTGTTATTTAATTGCATCTCAAAATTTCGTAGAAAATTCTTTATTATTTAGACTCAATATGTTCGTATTTTAACTGAGGAAAAAATTATACAAGCACATCCTATTATTATCTTTATTACATAATTATGCAAGAAAATATAACTATATACGATCACAAACATGGTATATAAATAGCAATTATCGAGAGTTATCTATTATGAACGGAGAGAAAAAATAAGAGTGGCAACAGTGCAAATTTAAATTTTTTTCTCACCGAAGGAAATCTGAATAAATTCGCATTTTGCAGCTAAAGTTGATAGCAGTAAAATAAACTGCTCGCAAGCCCGTCGTTCGTGCCTTTTTAGTAGAATATTGGTGACGATCGCGTAATCGTGCCTTGAGAAAAGTAAGGATAAAAAATAAAAATGTTCTCGTGAATGTGCCAAAACGATGACTATGTAACTTTTTTCAACGTAAAGCAATGATGTTTGATTGTCTGAAATTCACGTGAGATTTGAAAGGCTGAAATGCGAAAATTGAGAAAGTTTTACTGATGATCGCGCGTGATTGACTCTGGAGACAGATGTGTGCCATCGACAGAACGCGGATCACTTGCGGAGCCCAAGCAACTTGCAGGGTGTGCTTGGAGATTTTATAGAAAGTTGAATTATCCTTCAATCTTTCCCTCAATCCAGCAAATCTTTCAAGGAAAAGAAAATTCGATCGAAATTCTTCGCTCTGGATACATTCGCAAAAATATATGTTATTATTCTGCACTAATAAAAGAAATTCTGTGTCTTTATCATTAGTCTTTATCATATTGTGGTTAATTAAGATTTAAAAAGAGCGAGCGGACGACCGTTCTTAAAGTCGCCGTTAATTTTCGATACATTTGCGGCAACGGAAAATCGACAGATACGCCGAAGCTTATGCGCCGCGCACGGCGCATCGCGAATCCGACGCTTTCATTACCCAGCCAAATTGAATTTCGCGAGGATTGTGTTACTTTGTCACCTCGCGGCTCCGCTATTTCCATTTTGGTCAACTATCCGCGAATATAATGCCGTAGCAGTACCCTCGAATGTACGGTTCGTTTATTGCTACTTGACGTTGGCTTGGCAAAAAGAGAACGAGATAGCAGCGATGTGTGAACGATTTGCTCGTGAAAGGAAGAAAAACAGGGACATACATATGCGTGTTGTGTTCGAATAAAATGGCATTTGACATCTCTTTTACTGTTGCTGCGTTTGTGAAGACTTCAAACGCAATAAATAATTCTTCAAGAAAGATAAACGTAACTACAAATAGATATCATATTCGCATTGCCATGGATATCTTCTGAATTTTACAAATATTGTAACTGTTTTCTAAAACATATTTTCTATTTGACATACCTATCGTTTGTATTTTGAAATGTCAGTTTTAACGTATTTGAGAACAATATAAAAATGATATACGTTTTTCAAATTAAATTTACTCAACAACAAACAATATTCGTCTTTAACAAACACACCGAAGAGATTTGATTAAAAGGTGATTTTTGTAGAGAGACAAAGCTCCTTTAACACATGTTAAACATTCATAGATCGCTTTTGAAATTATCATCTCTCGTAACAAAGCACTCCTCATTGTTTCGCGGTAAAAAAAATAACGTTTACGTCATTTTCAGAAAACGACGAATAAAAGAGCGTTTCAATCACACTCCTAACGGGGTTCGCGGCGCATCCGCATCCCGACGTGTTAAATAATCGTCGCGTCGTCGGTCGCCGATTGTGATCGCGGGATCGCGTTATTACTTTCAATCGGCGTAATCCGGAGCGCCAATCGCGGCCGCATTGTGCCGGGGCACGCACTGACGAGTTGACGCGTCATTTACGGAAATTGTAAACGCTATGAAATTTTCGCGGATGTCCCGCGGAGCCCCGCGCGGATCGACGCGGAGGAGGATTAACGATCGACGAGCGATCGACATCGGGGTGCGTCGCGTCGCCCCGGTCACTCGAAACCGTCGACAGCGCAGGGGGATCCAATCAGACCTTGGTATTCCGGCTGTGTTCTGCCGCCGTTATTGTTGCCGAGCTGCACTCGGTCAAGAGTGATTTTTCGCAATCAATAACTTGGCTGTTTACGCACCGCTTCCTGTGCAGCGCCGCTCTCTTCGCTGACCCCGCGGGCACGGCAGTGTAATTACATTTGCACCGCGTGACGCGGCGCCGCAAAGCTTTCAGAATTCTCTTGACGGAATTTCATCGATCCGCCCGCCCGTTGGTGCGATCGCGCGTGATAGAGGCGACCAGCGATCGGTCGCTGGCACGTCTATAAACAGGCCAGACGCTAGACGAAAGACAGCGCGACGTGACCGACTATTTGTTGCTTCTTTGAACGTTTAATTAAACTCGCGCGCGGATGCAAGCAAATTTCTCTTATTTCATTCGATCCTCCTCAGCCACGCCGGCAAACAGAAATGAGTATCGCCTCTGTAATAATTCTTCCTCTCTCGTGTCGCGCGGTATTACCCGGACGTGCTTTATATACAAAGCTGTACACATCAATCTGATTTTCAGCGTCTGAAGATTTACTTGGGTGCGAAATTACTTTGTTTGCGAAACTGTAACATATAACATCTTTTTAATTATGCTCACAATTTTGCAATATATTACAGGTTTACAGAATATTTAAAATAAAATTATTATTATGAGATATAATAATTATTTAAGCAAAAAAAAAACAGGTTTTATATATCGATACTTTTCATATTTTTATATTAATTTGTTGAATTTATATTATTCTTGCACTATATTTCGGAAATAAAATTTGATGACTTTTAAAGATTTTGTACAAACTTTCATGTTCTAGTTAGAAAGTTATTAATTATTATTACATATTGCAATAAAAGCATTATCTCTCTCCTACGTTTTTTTTTTTAAATACTTTTTTCCTAAAATTAGAATTATTTTTAGATTATTGTTATTATATTAAAATTGATTGGACGAAGACTTATAATTTAGATGATAAACGCACAACTTTAACGATACTTTGACGATGATCACTTCTATTCATGATAGAAGTACGTTTGGAGAGGCATCTCCAACTTTTTTGAAAATCGAGATTTTGTCCACCTAGGCACAACTACACGTCACGCCGCTGTGCCGCTCGACACGTTCACCGAAGCGTAACACAGTTCGAGCCAGCAGAATTTCAAAACGGCGGACATTTCCGCCGCGATGTCTAGCGCCGCTGCGGCCGTGACACTGCACAAATGTGTGGCATCGGTTTTTCGTGCGTACTCTCTCGCCGCACTCCGCGTCGCGCGAAAGAATCTCTCTGATGCGACGCGACGTGTCGGGGGCGCAAAAAGGAAATGCATTTTGACACGGAGCACAACCAAGCGGAAGTTTAAATGCATTTCTAAAACCACGGAGAAACTTTCAGCATCGCGTCGCCCGCGCCGTCGCGTCGTGAGGAAAAATTAAAAAATATAACTTGTTAAAACTACCCGGTAGCGGGAAAAAGTTTAATCCTCTGTATTTAAAAGAGTCTACCAAGAATAGAACGTTTTTCGCAAAACGCAACACCCCAATTCTCTAATTTTCTGCTTATTTTTATCATGCGCTAGACTTTTACCTCATGTACCGTATCTTCTTTCACGTTTCTATTAAAAAAATGGATATTGAAATCTTTTTACATTTAACTTATCATTGTCATATATATTTTCGCGCGATCGTTGGACATTGATTAATTTAGTGTGATCCTTTTTGTTTCAGATGTTTCCAAAAGTATTATTGAATCACGTTACGCAAGGAGTAATCGGAAATCGCAGTAAGGAAGGTAAGCTGTTATTTAATAGGCGCAATTGCAATATAAATATCTGAAAATTGTGGAAACACACATATTTTTCGAAATATAAATATACGTGATCGCAGTAATAATCAGCTTTGGCACTGTAATCGTACTCCAGCTACGCAAATGAAGCAATATAGTGTACATTTACAGCGATTATAGATAATGATTGATCGCTCGCTTATTGAAATTTACATTACAATAATAAACCGCTTTATTATTATCATGCAGTATTTATTAACGCAATATATTATTGTTAATGAATAATTTTTTCTGCGTGATCGATAATTGTATCACATATTGCGCGCGACATCAAAGCGATTTCGATTATTCGTTTTGTTAAAGTGCATCTTGCCTATAATTGAAGTGATTAATGGGAAACCCTCTCGCGTAACTCGCATCCTCTGTTTTTCTGTTCCAGGACTCCTGACTGCCGCGACTTTTCTCTCTACTTATTATCAGAAGCATTTCTTACTATTGCAATGTAACCTGTAACACGGTGTCCGAATAAATAAGCGGTTATTCGTATTTTTGAGAATCGTGATAGCTTCGTAGTGAGCAAATGTAATTAGCGCGAGAGGAGAAAAAAAAAAAGAAAATTGAAGCATACTACCTGTAACTCGTATTGCAACGAAGTAACGTTTTTTCCTCTTTCTACTCGATGCTAGTTTAATCGACGATAATCGATTTATTAAAGTTCTTCGGTAATTCTCTTGTTTAGTCAAAAGCGGAGATCGATGTATGTACATAGCGAGAGTTTTGTATATTTGTAAAATAGATAGGGCATTTTATTATAAATATACATATATATATATACATATAAATATACATAAACAATAAAGTTATTTATATATATTTTAATCACAAAAGGTAAGCGTACTTCTTTTTTTCATCCTGGCACACTCGCGCGATACAACTTCGCCTATCGCCGTCGTCCGCGTCTCATTGTTCCGTTTAAGCGGCGGGGCGGACGGGTCCGACCGGTAGATTGCGACGCTTAATCTAAAATTCTATCAGCCGTTGTGTGTATAATGTATATCCATTTGTACAAAGTTGCGCGAGAGCATTAATATCATTAACGCCGGCGAAAGGCCGATTCGTTTGTTTGAATGGGCCGAGCCCTCCGCCCCGCGAACGCCCTGCAACGGCAACGGCAAGTCGGCAAAAGTCCGGCGAAGTCGGCGCCAAAAGCATTAAATATTATTACATCCGGCATTACGTTTGCCGCTACAGTTGCTGCTACGGCGCGCGTCGATGATTAATAGGGATACTCTCCGCGTAGCGTGACGTCGAGTAATATGTGCGCATTGTAATAATAATAACTCAGTACGAGAGGCATAAATTCGCGGATGGGTTAATTAGTACAAATTACTGCGGTATCAATTCTCGCCTGCTGTTATATCGCAAGCGGTCCGGCGCGCGCGATGGCGTACGCGCGCGCGGACCGATGAATTAATTCCGTTAAGTCATGTCTTGCGACGCGACAAATTGTAGAGCTCGCCGAACGAAATCGAGACTATGTGTAAATATTAATTTTCTGTTGTATCGATGTATCATAATTGTATTAAAAGCTAATGTCCCCTTTGTAAATGTTGCCGCCTGTCGAGGCGGCAGCAATTAATGGTGATTACTTGCGTTTCGCAATAAAAAGAAGGCTAAAGTGACAACGATGGCGTCCTTAACTCACCCAGAATACTTTACCCGGGAGAAATGTTTAATTGTGCTTTCCTTAACTTTGTGTTTATTACGAAACTCCCGGTATTGAAACGTCAACGTTATTTCTTCCATATACAGCGATGTCTGCTTTGTAATAAAATTAAATACAAAGAAAACTTGTTTACTTTATATACGTATTATATATATATTTCACTGTTTTATTTTTCAGATTTCACGTGTTATTAAATCGTTGGGAGACACCAAAGGCGTTAACAGATTTTAGATTAAGAGATACGTAAAACATTCGTCTGAGAGCTACGGCCGTAACGTTTTCCGGCTCGGAATATTCCTCGCAGCGCACTTTTGTACGTGAGCTTTCTACAACACATCATAAAGAGGAATTCTTCGCACAGTTTTATTACGCGACTTGACGGGAAGCTGCTCATATACCTGAAAAAGCAGTTTCGTATTTTTGTAATTATTTGGACCCGAGAAATTGTAGAGCCGAGGAGCGGCTGGCAGCGTAATAATATCCCACGAAGAAACTTAATATCTTTGATCTCTCTGCTATCGACAGCTTCAACCGATGCCAAGTAGGTATCTTTTTTTGGCAAATCTCTTTTAAAGACCAGCGCGAAATAGAGCGCAATTAAATCTTTTAATCGAAACAATGCATAATGGCTATAATTTATACTTTTGGAGTGTAAATTTGTGAAATTCTTCAACAAATTTTAAATTTCTCAACCTTTGGAATAATAACGAAGTTTTTTAAATTGAATTTTGTGCGTGTGTAGTTTTAGTTACAAGTATAAATTGATCATAATGACTATATTTAAAACTAGAAAAAAAAACAAGTACTATATTTAAAGCTAGAAAAAAAACAGGAACGAAAAAAGAAATTTGTATTGTCATGAAGATGAAGGTAGACCTACATTAAAAGGAACAATTTCTATTGTCGACTTATAAAACGAGCCATGCGAATCGCTTTCGTGATATCCGCGAATGAATGCAATGCGAGATCGATCGCGATACAATGGCGACAGATCGTTCCTTCGTGCAAGGCTCACCTTTCGGATCTCGATCCTCGTCTCTCTTTCTCTCTCTCTCTCTCTCCCGCCCCACTTTTGGTTGCCATTTGTGTCGTGCAATGGAGTGCACTGGTCCTGACAGCACTTCAGTCCCCTGCTTTCGCTTTGTCCGCCGCTCCGCTCCGACAATGAGACTCGGCTTCGCGATATGAATGAATCCTTCCCAAGCCCCGGGTACATCCCCTTCGGGCTGGAAGTGCTGCAGGTCCCCTCCCCACGCACATCCGATTCCCGGCGTACCGGGAATACCGCCCAGAGCACTGCCAGAGCACCCGCTCATATTTCCTCCAATAAAGTCAAACGTTCTCGGGCATGACCCCTTCGGGCGGATCAACCGGCGATTCGTCCATATCAACACCTCAGGCGCCTCTCGAACGGTACGTACATGCGTCTCATCCGAAAGCGATATTTCGAGAGTGTGCGAAACTGCTTCGGGATTATTCTCATAGTATCATTAAGCGATCTCTCACTGCGATTAAATATATTAGAAGATATTATTTTGCGTTATAGAAATTCCCTACATATTTTACCTTTAAGCTTAAACCTGGTATATTTTGTCGACTTTGGAATCGCGAATTTCTAAAATCTTTGCGATTTTATCTCTTGCAATTTTTTAATATTAGACGGTGGGGAATAATTTAATAACGCTTTCGAGTACACACCTTGGCAAATAAAAAACGAGAACGATTACGAGAGAGACTGATCGTATTATAAACGGCGTAAATTTATGTAACATGATAAATCGGCGCGCGTTTTCAAAAATAATATAGATACGTATACTTGAAACGGGAAGTAGACACGAACAAAAAAGACTTTTTTCGAAAGAGCGCACCTGTATAAAAATTGCAGGTTTATTTATACCTATCTAATGGATTCTATCGAGCTCTCCCGGAGTTTTTTCAGATGCGCTTTAACGTTCACGTCAATTTTGTTATTTGCCCGATCCATTAGCGCTCAACGTCACGCACATGTGACGCTCAATTTTCGCCAATTGCGATATTTTCATCCCGCGCTGCTTCCAAATTTTCGCCCGTATGCTTTTGCTTCTCGCGAGACCTCAGACGAAACGTATAACGCGCGCGACACGAACTATATTAACACCGCATAAAACCGGGAGAATCGCGGTGAAATTTATGTGGTTATTTGTCCCCCGGGTGGCTGTTACGTGCGTCAAGGCGAACGGACTATACAGTGGTCTATATATCTTCCCTTTGGAAGGTTGCTTTCTTTTCCCCCCTCCGCCTCCCCCTCCGCGTTTGGCATCAAGCCCCAACGAAAAAGGGCTCTCGCAGAGGGCTAGGTCGCCGTCTGGCCAGAGCCTGAAAATGGTACCAGATAATAAGGCGACCATTTTTTCTTATTTCCCGAGCAAAGCACGGGAATACTGATTTATTTCGCGGCACGCGCAGAAGTCGCCGGAGCGCTGAAAGTATATTCCATTTCCTCGACGTCGCGGCCGTCGCTCGAGATACCAGGCAGATATGGCGGGTACAGGGAGGTGGTGGGCATTCTCGTCTCGCGCCCGCCTGACGTTGATGCTCATTTAATGATAATGTCGACTATCGCTTTTCCCCTTTATTTCCCCTCCCCCGCAGACCCCGCTCCCCTCCGCGTCGGAAATACTTTTCTCGATCGGAAGATCGAGGCTCTCGATATCTACCGCTTACGTCTGCGTTTTTCTTGTTTGTTCCATCTGCTATATCTGCCGATCGTCGCCGCCGCGTTCGCAGTATTTTCAGATGCATGATGAACGAGCTTTCATTATCATTACGTCCGCGCGGATAACTCAATCTGATCGATCGCCATATCTCATCCCGATCTCACGTCGATCCTGCGGCTGTTATTAACCGCTGACGCAACAAGAACGCGCTAGGCGACTTTACGGCTATTAAAAGTTGCGGGAGAGACTAATTAAGACGCGGGCAATCATTATGCGGTATAAAGAACAGTCGAGATTAATTGCTCAAGTTCCGCGCTTGCATGAGGCGAGAGGTGTCGACGAGCGGCGCTCTCTCTTTCGTTGCCCCCGAGTACGGTGCAATAATAGTGTAAATTGCGACGTAATGAATGCAACCTGACAGAAAGTAACGAAGCTCGTCGTCGGCCACTTCTCTATTCCGCTTGTGACATGATCTACGGCAAACGGAGACGGTATAGCGTACAGCTGTATGCACGGATGCGTGTGAGAGATGCCGTGCGAGCGTTAAAGCGGGTACGCTATCTTCCTTGTCTTCGTACTCTCGCAAATTAATCCCATCGTGTAACGGTATTTACGCGCCACAGATCGCAACTTTCTAATTTTGACACAATTTTTTTCTGCCACTTCACGTAATGAAGATAAATTTGTTTTTCACAAACAGCACAAAATTCAGCTTTGTTATTGAAGAAAAATGCTGGGTTTTCATTAAATTAAATAACGTGTCTTTCTCCCGCAATAACTTGTGATAAGTAAACCTGATTTTTAGCCGTCTCTAATCCGGGAATCGCAATTAAATATCGTTACAACCTGGTTAGCTGCGTGATAAATTTATTTTACGACGGTGAAGCAAAGTCCCCGCAGTTAATTTGTATTTGGGAACAGGACGGGCGTTAGAATTCGGGTCTACGGTGAAACGCAAATAATTATTTACGACAATCACTAGCGCAAACTCCGCGCTTCATTGGGAGACCGGGAACGAGGGGATATTGAATTATTTAGCAGGATTAATGTACCTACTCGTAGTCGTCGTTACCCCGCTCGAGTTACCGTGTGACGTAGGCGCGAGGTACAGGAGATAGGTTTTCAGGCAAATCCGCGAGCCGGATCCAAGGTGGTACAACACGTTCGACGTTGCTGGAGAGGTCCGCGTTTCGCAGCGCTTCTCCTGCAATCTACTTAGACGTGTGCGCGGCATAATGTAGAAGCCGGCTGTGCGGCTTAACGTAAGTAAAGCGATTGGAGCGCAAGAAAGTATAAATGAGAATAATTGTTCCCTCGTTAGGAACGATATTCTTGCACAACGTACGCTGAGTGTCGTAACTGCATTTCGTGATTGGATACATAGATTTCAACCGAAATGTAAGATTAAGCATTTCGAGTGAAGAGAAAAAGATATAAATATGGAAAACTGGTAACAGACACGATTGCAACGTGTCTCTCTGATAAAGAACTTGTCGAGAATACCGAATTTCTCATTTTCTTTTTCATTCTTTTTCCTCGTCTCGTAGACACCGCGTACGCGAGCATGCAGATGGGCGCAACACGTAACGCGGCAACCCGCGTATGTTTCGCAGTTCAAGGCGTGAAGAATGTCGAAAATAATTGAGCTCGTCGACTCTACTCTCGGTAATTGTTGCGCTCGCAGTTGTAGCCGTGAGCGTGCGAGTTGCCCGGCAGTTGCCGACCGACAACTGCCGCATAAAAGCAAGCAACAGTGCCGCGTGCAAGAGGAAAAATAAAACAAGGAAGGCAGGGACGCGGCACGGCACCTTTCTTGAAGAGCGAGAGAATGCGAGGGAATGCTAAGGAGCACACGCGAAACCGGAGTAACCGAAAGTTTGTCACTTTGTGTGTCGGGGGAGAAAAATACTTTCATCAATACTTGCGCGAGTAGGTACCCCGCTTCCTTGCTACGTTCTGCATTAACATCATTTCTGCGAGTGCAATTCGCTGCGCGTGCCGTGCAACTCGATCTTTCTCTCTTTTACAATGTATTTGAGATGCCTCGTCATTCGATATTATTCTTTAAAAAGCATCAGTTTTTATCCTACAAATTAAGATACTTTTGTAAAGTATTATTTTTAACAGAATAATTTCGCGCTTTTTAATGATTTATATTTCTCTCGCCTAAATTCGAATGAATACATAATTAATATATCGAAAATAATATACAATTGAATTATATATTACACAAATAATTAGATATATATAATTAATGACGTATTAAAGGATGAGTTAATTTTAATAATTGAAAAAATTAATTTATATTTATAGCTCTCAGATTATATTTATTTTTATTATACTCCAAATTAGATTTTTTATTTATCTGTAATCTGTAATATATCTGTAAGAG